AAGGTTCTGCTTTCATTGTTTCTATTTTCCCACTTAAGAATTAGGAAGTAGTTACTTTTAACATTTTTAGTCAGTAAAGTGAGGTGGCATTCCGAACACAGAAACCCATCTTGTCAGCAGCTGGAATTTTTTGGTAAGCAATCTTTTAAGATTATGGTATTTCAACACACATACACACACACACAGAGTCTGCCTTTCATTATTATAAGATTGAGGAACAAAGATGGGGACCCATTAAATCTAAAATGGAAGTGGATAACTAGAAGGTCAGTTGGATCTGTTTTAACTCCCTGACACACAGGAGACAAATAAAACTGTGTACCCAAGTTTTGTTCATTTACCATGTTGTTGTGTTGTCTGGTCTTTGAGGTAGAGTTCACTCTATATAACCCAGACTAGCCTTGAACTCATGGCAATCCTCCTGCCCCAGCCTCCTGAGTACTGGGATTGAGGTATGCCTCCACACACCCCACCTTCTTTCGATATTAAAGACAACTCTTTTTTTTTTTTTTTTTTTTTTTAGGTTTTTCGAGACAGGGTTTCTCTGTGTAGCCCTGGCTGTCCTGGAACTCACTCTGTAGACCAGGCTGGCCTCGAACTCAGAAATCCACCTGCCTCTGCCTCCCAGGTGCTGGAGTTAAAGACGTGCACCACCACTGCCCCACTAAAGACAACTCTCAAATGGACAACATTTCATCCTGCTTTAGGGGAGGGTTTACACTGACAAATAGTTACAGGTAAAAATTATGAATGTGTTTGGGGCAAGGCTCTGGGTTGAATCCCCAGCACCACAAAGTAAACAAATAAAAATATGAATCGTTACTGCGGTATTTGAATACTATAGTAGTTTGATTTTTTTTTTTTTATTTTGCCAACACTTTTAAGAAGCTCAAGAAGGTAAAATGCCAGTTAAAAGACAGTGTAGTCAGCGGTCTTCACTAGGGTTCGCTTAGGTTGCTTTTATCCTGTTTTTCTTCTTACTTTATCAGGAATTTATTGATCCTGTCCTCCCTAGAAGAGTCCTAAAGAAGAGCAGAATCTCCGTGAATGTGCAAAGAGAAGACTAATTTAGTGCCAAGATACATATTAGGGGACACCCAAGTGGTGACAGGAACCACATGCTGCTAGAGATTAGAAAGTACCCCGAACCAAAGAGTTAACCCAGAAAATAGAGTGAAGGTTTTCAGCCCGAGCTCCCATTCCTGGGATGACATGGCAGCTCCTCTCTGAACAACAGTAGATTAGACTGCATCCCAAAACACATCATTTAAAGAGATGCGCAGTTGATCGTTTGGTAAAAGGTCTAGGCAACGGGAGCAGTGCAGGCTTGTGGTTTACAGAGCTGGGGATGGGAAGTGGTACCCAGTGCATGCTAAGCAGGGGCCCAGACAGGATCTACTGTGCGGCTCAGGCGAGACCGGAACCGGAAACCCATCTGCCTGTTCCCTACGCTCTGTGCCTTTAAAGAGTCAACTAGCAAAAGCTCTCCGGAATAAAAATATAAACCTCTTGAAGTACAAAACTCATTTTCTTCACTCAGATTTTAATGAAAAATATAAATCTTTAGCTAAAATAAAACTGTACTATGAAAAGAAAACCCACCAATCCGCTGTCCTTCCCACCTCAAGTGAGACAAAAAAAGGCTACTGGGGCTGAGACGGACCCCATCCGTGGGAGTCCTGCCGCCTGAGCCGAGCGTTTACAACTCAGTTCTCTGCAGTTGGAGTTTAAAGATAAAGCTTCACATTCAAACTCTGAATGTGTCTGAACTTTAAAAAAAAAAATAAGAATTGTAATCATAACTTTATTTAATGTCAAACAATTTCTGTTGCCATGATGAAAAAAAATCAGACCCAGAAATGATAGTCATGTCAATATTGCCAGGCAATGGTTAATACAGCTAAGAGTAGTTGACATTTAATGTAATTAACTTAGTGCTACAATATATTCTAACTGTGCATCAGAGTGAGTTACCAAGGTTTGATCCCCGTGTGCCATTGAAATGGCTTGTACATTTGGCTGTGCCACCTGATCTTTGTATAGAATCAGAAACCTCTGAGTTTCTTCAATGATATGTCCCTTCTGTTCGTCAGGCCTTTTTCTCAGAAGAATCCTTAGGTGGAAACTTGCTCACTGTCCTTTTTCCAACAAAGTTTGGCATAAACAGAAGGGAGGGATTATCGTGCTTAGTCTACTCGGGATTCTGGAGATTATCCAGAAACATTTCTTTTCTTTTTCTTTTTTTTTTTTTCTGAATGAACATCTGGACTGTGCACATCTGGCACTTGGGATTTCCTGTGCTTCCTACTCTATCTCAAAGTTCAGCCTACTAGAGAACCTCCCGCCATGTCCTATCTCAGGAATGGTGGGACGCTTAAGGAAAAAATTGGCCTCGATTGGCATTCAAGAGGTTCCAGCCACAGTAACTGCCTAGCTAAGGAGTGTTCTCAGGTTCCTGGCTGGAACTGGAGCAGGCAGGAAAGAACAGCGTCCTTTGTATCTCAGGACTTTCTACCAAGCCCCTCAGCGAAGTCTGCAAGTCAGCCTACTGGGAGGGATCCTGGGTTCCCTTCAGGTAAGACAACCATGCTCCGCCCATACTTCAAACCACCCAAGAGTGAGACAAGGCCTAACCACTGATCCAGTCTGTAACTGGACTTCCTAAAACAGGTTATGTGCACTGAGCTGATGAAACCTTAACTTAGCTCAGCCCCCTCCAGTGTTACTCCTCATCTGTCCTCCCGCTCTCTCTGGAGGTTATATGGCATTAGAGGATACTAAGTGACCGAAAGCACCAGTATCCTGGGTAACAGTGTCTAAACGTGGACAAAGCCCAGCCACCCTGTCACGAGGGCCACACAGTCAGAGCCATGGCCTAGGGTGCCTGACGAGGGAGGAAGAAGGCATGCTCTCTTTAGCCTTCTCCTTTCTTCTGGGTACTGATGACGGAAAATGGCTGGGTACACCACCAACCTTTGATCCGATGAAGCGGTAGTAATAATGGGTGGCTGGCATCTGAAACCTGGGCCCCTGGGGACTCAGTGGGAACATCACTGGAGGCAGAACGATTTCAACCGGTTTCAGAGGAATCACTTTGCCTTCTGGCCGAAGTCTCCCTAAGTTTGCCGGCTTTTCTACCGGTCTGGAAGCGTTCCTCACCAGTGGGGTGGATAAAGGCTTGCTGGGCTTTCTGATCTGCGAGGAGGTGCTGGCTTGAGGCACAGATTTTGCTGGGACGGGTGTTTTGGCTACAGAACTTGTTTTACTTTCTCGATGCAGGAACTCGGAGATTTTCATTTGGATGTTGCTGGTGGTATCGTTCCCAGTCACCACCAAATGGTCACGGAGTGGGTCCCCATTGTGAGGAGCTCTGGGCGGTAGCGCTTTTGTTTTTTTCCTCCTCTTGTCCCGTTTAATTGCCTTCCCAACCTCAACCCCATCCAGTAGGCCTTTGGCTGCAGCCCGGGCCAGAACATCTTTCACTGACACTGTCTCGGATGGGTCCCGCTGCAATGAGAGCAGGCAGATGTTAGCGTGGGAGGGGTCACCATCGCTGTGCACATTTTAAATATTTATCAGTTATTTGGTGAAACATAAAACACATTAAAGTAAATGGTTTTTAGGCCTTAGTTCCTAACGTAACTCAGAAGTCCCAGGAAATAACTTTTTCTTAGTTACCCATTAACAAACCTCCTAAGAATCCCGCTGCTTATTTCTTCTGTTAGGGAAGAACGCTAGACAGTTGGCAGACTTCTGGGAGCGGTGGGAGCGGAGGGCAAGTCAAGGAGGGACACTGAGGGGAATCATGGAGGGCATAGACTGTTTGCCACACAGCAATGATCCTGTTCTAGCCCTTCAGCTACTTGTGAAATACAATCAAGCCACTGCCAAATGGTCTCGAAGTGAGTCCCCATGATGGGAGTTTGTTGTTTTCAATTCCAAAGTATGTCATGGATTAGGAGCTTTCTTCTTTCTTACCTCTCTTGTTAAGATAGAAAGAAAACAGCCATTGGTCAAATCAGATGGTTCCAATCTGAAAAACCTGTCCATAGACAGTTCTATCTCTTTTAAGGAGCACAGCGGGAGAACAGGGGGGCTGAGCCTGCGGCAGGGAAGAGAAGCAGTCGACAGTTACGATGACTCTTCACACAAGAGAGGAAGGGAGCGTTCCTCAACTCTTTCCCTATTTTGCCAATCACTTAAGAAAAAAAAAGACTCAAATTATAAGACCACCAATCCACCAATCCCAGGATTAGGTAAGACTTTTTAAAACACTTTTTAATTGATTGGGATGTGTGTGCGTGTGCGTGCGTGCGTGAGTGCGTGAGTGCGTGAGTGCGTGCGTGCGTGCGTGCGTGTGTGTGTGTGTGTGTGTGTGTGTGTGTGTGCATGCATGCACAGGTATGCACAACCCCGGACTTGTTATATGATTGCTGGGATCTGAATCCTGGTACTCATGACTGCCAAGCTCTCTTAACCACTGAGTTATCTCTCCAGCCCGAGGTGGGAATTTTTAAGCGGGTGTCAGAGTCTGCAAAGTTCTGTTCTTGAACTACAGACCCACTCTTCCTCCTCCCCACTTCCCTCTCTGGTTGGTATTGTAAAGTACCCACCAAGATGCTCACTTTCCTAAGTGTGTTTCCCACAGCTTCAAAAATGTTGGGGGAGGGGCAAGGAGAGGACTTGTTAATATTGGTTCCATCTCCCTTCCCTACTGCAGAGGTTGGATGTCACCGCTCACTGACTGCCCTAGGCACGATGATGCCCGGGGATGAGCCCGGTTCTGGCTGAGATCCCTTCCGTTTTTCTCAACCACTCCCTAAAGAATGAGTTTCTTCTACTCATTCTTGGTGTTTTTTCTTATTCATGTTTAATCTTTATTGTCTATGTGTCTTAGGTTAAAGTTCATTAAGTCACAAAGTCATATTAACATGTTCATTCAATTCGAAGAATAAAATGAGACTTCTTTGACATGGTAAATTTGATTTTGAAATGAAAGCTAGTTTTAGAAAACAAGTCAGAAGTTTATGATTTTTTTCCAAAAGTCAAATGACAAAGCTTACTGTAAATTGAAATACTTAATAGAATTTTTGTATTAAGAGAAACATTTAAAACCTATATATAATATTTTGAAAATAAATATTCCAGGAAAATATTTTTTTTACAATTATCTAAACTTACAAAGAAAATTTTAGATATCAACTTAAGAGTTATTAAAACAAATTATAATGCATATTTGTTTTCTAAAAAATTTTTTTGAAGGCTTCTATTCTAGAATCTCATTCACTGTGTTGCTCAGTCAGTAAACCGGAAACATGTGCAGCCTCAGAAATAGGTGAACCAATCAATGTTCTTAAGGGAGATTGGCCTGAAATTCTCTCTTTTCTTTTCTTTTTTTTTTCTTTTTTTTTTTTTTTTGAAATTCTCTTTCTTTGTTGAGTCTTTGTGTAGTTTAAGTATCAGGCTTCATAGAATGAGTTCCTTCTATGGCAGTGTTCCTTCTGTTGCTATTTTGTAAAATAGTTTGAGAAGTATTGGCAATAGCTCTTCTTTTAAAATCTGGTAGAATTCTTCACTAAAACAATCTGACCCTGAGCTTTTTTTGATTGGAGATTTTTAATGACTGCTTCTATTTCCTTAAGGGCTATAGGACTGTTTAGATGGTTTACATCATCTTAATTTAAAGCTATTAAAAACAAAGACTCGCCGGGCAGTGGTGGCTCACGCCTTTAATCCCAGCACTTGGGAGGCAGAGGCAGGCGGATTTCTGAGTTCGAGGCCAGCCTGGTCTACAGAGTGAGTTCCAGGACAGCCCGGACTATAAAGAGAAACCCTGTCTCGAAAAACCAAAAAAAAAAACAAAAAAACAAAAAAACAAAGACATCATGAAATTTGCAGGGAAATGGATGGAACTAGAAAATATCCAGATTGAAGTAACTAAACACAGAAAGATACACATGGCATGTGCTCACGTGTAAGTGGATATTAGCCATAAAGAATATGGGATAAGCATGCGATAAAAAATAAGTAGTGGGGGCCTAAGGAGGATGGGTGAATCTCACTTAGAAGGGGAAACAAATATTCATTGGAGGTGGATGGAGGGAGGATACTGGATGGAAGATGGGGAAAGGAGGGGAAGAGGGATGGAGATCAGGTGTGGGGAGAGGGGGTGTGACAGGGAGGGCTGGGATTGAGAATGGCAATTGAGCCGGGCAACTCTGGGAGTAGCTAGAGACCTAGGGCGGGGAAGGTTCCCCTGTTTGTGGGAGGCTATGGGGGTGACTCTAGCTGAGACTTCTACCAGCAGGGGACCTGGAGACTGAAGTGGCCACCTCATGTAGCCAGGCATGGCTTCCAGTGGAGAGAAGGCAATATCAACCCACTCACAGAACCTTAAATCCAAAACGTGCAGGGCTAAAGACAGAGCCGAGACAGCCAACTAGTGACTGGCTCAACTTGAGACATATCCCATGTAAGACAGCCAACCCCCTGACACTGTTCATGATACTCTGCTATGCTTACAGACAGGCACCTGGCATAACTCTTCTGAGAGGTTTCATCCAGCAGCAGATGGAAACAGATGCAAAGCTCCACAGCCAAGCATCAGGTGGTGTTGTGGGAGTCTTGTGGAAGAGTCGGGGATAGAACTGAGTAAACTGAAGGAGTCAAGGACATCACAAGAAGACCTACCGAGTCAACTAACCTGGACCTATGGAGGCTCACAGAGACTAAACCACCAACCAAAGAGCATTGCAGGGGCTGGGCCTAGGCCTCCTATACATTTGTAGTTGATGTGCAGCTTGGTGTTCATGTGAATCCCCCAACAATTGAAACAGAGACTGTCTTTGACTCGGTTGCCCTAACTGGACTGCCTGGTTGGGCCTCAGTGAGAGAGGATGCTTTTAGTCCTACTGCAACTGGCTGTCCCAGGGTGGATTACCCAATGGGTGCTTCCCCTTCTCTGAAGAGAAGAGGAGGGAATAGTTGGAGGGAGGGATTTGTAAAGGTGGGACAGGGAGGATGGACTGAGGTGGGGGAGGAACACGATCAGGATGTAAAGCAAATAGACAAATTAATTTAAAAAAAAAGGAAAGAAAAAGAAATGAGTAAACACAAGTTTCATCAACAAGAAAAGTGAGTCTTCTCAACCTTCAGATTGGTAAAGATGCACAGTTACTAAAACAACATTCCTAAAGCCATAGGAAAGAGATTTGTAAAAATGACTGTTCTGGGGACTGGACTGGAAAGATGACTCAGCTCATAAGAGCATGTGCTGCTCTTGAAGGGGACCTGGGCTCAGTTCTCAGGACCCACACACCAACTTACAACCGTCCACAACCCAGATCCAGAGGAGCTGACCCTCTTCTGGCCTCTGTAGGTACCAAACATGTGTGTGGTGCACATAAACACATACAGGTGAACCTTCATAGACATGAAAAAATTTTTAAGTGGCTATTAGTTGGATAACTTGGCAATGATAATTCAAACTTAAACTATGCACGCTCTCTTGTGCTGGAGAAATCTAGACTATAAATCTAACTGAAGAAATGGTTGTATCTAAGAGATTCTCCTAAAAAGATTTTTTAATTTGTTTTATGTGTATGTGCCTAAGTGTGAATATGTGTGCCACAATCATTCTAAAGCCCATGAACGTCAGAAAGTGCTGAGTCCCCTGGAACTGGAGCTACGCTGACTTGTGAGCCACCGTGTGGGTGCTGGGAATGGAACTTGGCTCTTAAATATTGAGCCATTTCTCTAAAGCATTCTTTTTGCGTTAATACTTCTATACTTCTAACACATTAGATTGGGGTGTGTGTGTGTGTGTGTGTGTGTGTGTGTGTGTGTGTGTGTGTGTGTTTACATTTGTGCATGTATGGAGTAGGTGTCCAAACATGGCGTCTATGGGGGTCACAGATGGACATTGGCCTCTATTGCCCTCTGCCTTCCTTTCCTGAGGTACAGTCTCTAATTAAACTTGGAGTTCACTGGTTGGCTAGACTGGCTGACTAGCAAAATCATGAGATCTTCCTATCTCCAACTTGTCTTCCTGCCTTCCATGCCTGTACTGAGACTATAGATATGTGCAGCCATGCAAATCTTTTTGCAAGGGTGCTGGGGTCCTTGTGCCTCATTTGTGTTACCCATTGGGCAGTCTCTCCAGCCTACACATGAGATTTTAATAAGTAAAGCACTTGCATAGGCCTGCAGTTAACATCCTGATAGCTCAAGTCCAAAATGAACCAAATAGTTTGGGGCCAGTAAAAGGAAATATAAGCAATGGGTGGACGACCACAGTGGGGCATTAAGAAATGATTCTTAGGCTAGTGAGGTGGCTCAGTGGTTAAGGATGACTGCCACCAAGCCTAATGACCTGACACCCAGGACCCACATTGTGAAAGGAGAGGACGATCTCCGAACAAGTTGTCTTCTGGCCTCCACATGCACACTGTGACACACATATATACCACACACACATGTGCACACACACATACTAAAAAGTAAATAAATGTAATTTTTAAAAATTAACGATTACTACAGAACATATGGTATATAGTATATGTCCCTAGCAGTGTGTAGTTACTTTTGACTGTGTCCACAAGTAGTTGCAAGCTTCTTGAATATATGCCTTCTAACCAGAGCTTAAATGTCAGACCAATCTAGAATGTGAATTACTGTCTTTTGATTTTAAATACAAACAGTATCTTTTTATACTACATTACAAATTAACCGTGGCTTACATGAATAGAAAGCAAATATCACTTTACTCTTGCTGTATCATATTCTCAAAAATCTTACCCCTAATGAATCAAGAGCCCTATGTGTATAATCACTGATTTGGTGATGTCCCTGGTGAGCTCTTCATCAGTAGATGGTCACTTAATTTACCTACTATGATACTCAGGACTCTCAGGATATGTGGTTGATTGTCCACTATTATGCTGGCTAGTTTTATGTAAACTTGATACAAGCTAGAGTCATCTAAAAGGAGGGGACATCAATTGAGAAAATGTTTCCATAATATCCAATTGTAGGACATTTTCTTAATTAGTGATTGATGGGGAGTGGGGGTCTAGGCCATGTGGGTAGTGCTATCCTTAGGCCGACGATCCTAAGTTCTATAAGAAAGCAGGATGAGCAGTCCATGAGAACGAACCAGGAAACAGCACCCCTCCATGGCCTCTGCATCAGCTGCTGCCTCCTGGTTCCTGCCCTAAATTCCTTCAATGGTGGACAACGATGTGGAAGTCTATGTCATATAAATCACTTCCCAAGTTGCTTTCAGTCATGTTTCAGCACAGCAATAGAAACCCTAAATAAGACAGAAATCGGTAACGAAATAATGTGGTATTGCTGTGTCAGACCTGACCATGTTTTGGGGGGAGGGATTTTGAAACTTTGATCTGGAAAATCCATTGAGTAATTAAAGCTTTGATGAACTGTTCTGTGGAAACCTGGGAGGAAGGAGTATTGGGAGAAATGCAGACAACAAAGGCCTGAGAAACTCCCGAGGGAAGAGTTACTTAAGGCCCTTGAATATTTACTATTTTGGATTAAGATTCTGTGGTTCTGGTCATCTGGGCTGAAGAATCAGCTGTGATTAACTAAAGACCAGAACCACTGAAGTGAAATCTTTCCTTTCCTGAGACAACGGATGTCGGTCAGCTGGAGCTGGGGGAGCAGTGATGATTTAAGAGGCCATCATTAACGGAAGTGAAATCTTCTGGGAAGTGTTTCCTGAGAGTCAGGACATAGAAGCTGTGTTTCTGAGGCAGCCGAGGTTGTGCCCCCTGCTGGCAGCTGAACCTGGGAGTGTAAGAGTCACCCAAGTGGTACTGGTTTTGAAGGTATGAAGGGCTCATGGATAACAGCTGAGTTTCCTGGAGCTCACAGCTGAGAGACTTTATCTTTTATAGTGATTTTAGAGTTTTACAAAGACTTTCAGGGAGTATTATAACGATTTTTAAAGGGACTGAATATTTTAAAGAGTCTGAATATTTTAAAGAGACTTTTTAAGCGTTTAAAAATTTAATGACTGTGGAACTTTTAAAATGTAATGTTTCTATTGAAATGTTGCTACTCACGTGTGTTTCAGATGAACAAGAAAGGAAAGGTTATGACTTAACAGTGATATAGTTGTATGCCAAGTTGACAAGGGGTCAATTTGCTGGCTACTTTTATGTCAACTTGACACAAACTAGAGCCATACGAAAAGAGGGAACTTCATTTGAGAAAACACCCCCGTAAGATACAGCTATAAAACATTTTCTTTTCTTTTCTTTTTTTTTTTTGGTTTTTCGAGACAGGGTTTCTCTGTGTAGCTCTGGCTGTCCTGGAACTCACTCTGTAGACTAGGCTGGCCTGGAACTCAGAAATCCACCTGCCTCTGCCTCCCAAGTGCTGGGATCAAAGGCGTGTGCCACCACCGCCCGGCTTATAAAACATTTTCTTAACCAGTGAAGGAGAAGGGCTCAGTTTTGTGAGTCCTGCCATTCCTGAATTCTGTAAGTCCTAGGATCCATAAGAAACAGGCTAGACAAGCCATGAGGAGCAAGTCAGAAGGCAGTAACCCCCACGACCTCTGCATCAGTTCCTGCTCCCTGGCTCCTGCCCTGTTTTGGTTGCTACCCTAACTTCCTTCAGTGATGGGCTAGTTAATGATGTGGAAGTTAAGTCAGATTAAGTCCTTTCCTCCCCTACTTGTATTTCTCCACGGTGTTTCCTCGAAACAATAGAAACCTCACAAGGACAGCTACCAACAGAAGCTTCTAAGTAAGAACGGAAAGTCAGTGAGAGAGGAAGTGTTGGTGTGATCAACTTGTCAGCCTGTGATGTGGAAAAACGGGAAGGTATCAGGTTGGGAGGATAGAGCAGACTATATACACATTAAGATTCCAAAGGAAAAATCACAGCATGAAAATAGATGTTTAATTCATCATCACAGACTTGAAAAACTAATTAGTCTTAAAAAAAAAAAAGTACTCTTGGAGTGAGTTCTTGATAGCCACAGTGTGTGCTGTATTTGTTCGGTATTATTTAGCGCTTGCTTGTTTTGCTTGTTTCTTTTGGGCAGCACTGGAGATTAAAGCAAGAACCTTGAGTATACTAGGTGAGTGTTCTACAACTGAACTATAGCCCCAGACCTTAGCACTGTTGTTTTGGGTTTTTTTGAGCTAAGTCTCTCATGTAGCCCAGGCTGGCCTCAGACTTGTGGCAAACCCCTTTCCTCAGCCTTACTGAGGCTGGAGACTAAGCCATGAGCCATCAAGCTCAGCTCAGACTGCATGCAGCATCAACACTCTCTCTCTTTCCCAAGTTTACTGCTATAGTTTATCTTGAAGCTGACAAAGATAACCATATCGTTTTTGGTTTTGTTTTTACTGTTTTCCCAGTGGGTACAAAATACTAAACGTGCTTAAAATAGTACACATCCAGTTTTCTGTCCACTTTCTAAAAATATTTTGTATACTTTTCCTCTGTGGGGTGATACATGTATCTAAGAGAGATATGAAGTTTGGACCTAGCTTATTCAGGAATCAAAAAAGCCACAGTCAAATGCCTTTCGCTTTAACAAGAACAAATGTATGTACAATACAATGTTCATAGACTAGTGTGACACCTTCATGGGTTAAAGTGCTGGCTGCCAAACCTGGTGCTCTGTGTTCAGAACCTAGGGCCCACATGATGGTGACAGGAATGACTCCAGGTCATCCTTCAACATTTGCATGTGTGCACATACACACATATATACAGATACACACACAGACACACAGACACACACAAAACACACATAAAACTGTTAAAGTATTCATTCACAAGCTGTGGAGAATCCACTTGAAAGCGGTAAGATTTTAAGCTGTTCAGTCATACTAAATTATAACAAAAACTCTAGTGTATTTATGTAACTCCAAAACTCATACTGTCATTTTCAAGTCTTTGCTTGATGGAGGTTTAGTGTCCTTTCCTTACCTGTAAGGTTGTATTTTAGGCCCTGGGCTTTGACATTCCAGTGCTTTCTTAATAACGTCTTCATTTTCCTCTTCAGAAACAGAGCACGTGCAATAAACAATTGCTTGAACTTTAGTAACTGTATCGAAAGAAGATAAAATCAGTAGGGTGGCCCAACGCCAACTTGCTGTTTCCAGACACACACTTGTTACCAATGCGTACCACCAAATATTCATGGAAGCGATTTGTATGACTGCTTGAGTAGCTCCACTTCATTTTATTCTTGAATTTAAAAATTACGTGTGTGTGTGTGTGTGTGTGTGTGTGTGTATGTGTGTGTGTGTCATAGCACACTCGTAGAATTCAGAGGGCAGCTTGTGGAAACTTATCCTCTCCATCAGCCGTGGGAGTTCCAGGCACCAAACTCAAGTCTTCAGACTCAGAGGCAAGCACCCTTACCTGCTGTGACACCTCATGGCCCCCTTGAGTGGTTCTCCCTTAAGAAGAGCTTGTCTTAGTAATATAAGCAATGACAAGTAAGTAATGTCAATCCAGCTGGACTGTACCTCCCCCCCACAAAAAAAAATGAGAATTCCATCATTGTGATCAATCTATCATGAGGAGACATCCTTCCATAAGTTCTATCACTAGTTAGTTAGAAAAGACTAAAAACAGACAGATATTGGTGGGAATTGTAATTCTGTTTCTTGCTGTTTTGGGAACCTGGAAAGATTCACAAAAAGATTCCCAAAAGACTCCGCTCTCTCGTCCTTGAGACCACACCACCATGACCTGTGGTTCACTCGTTTATTCATACTGACTGAGTGCCTACCCCGTGCACTTCCCGAGGCTTTGTGATCCTCAGTGAAAAACAAAAAACAACATTCCTGCCACTGTGGACTTTCCTTGCAGAGGATTAACAAAAGTAAAACGTGATCAGGAAAGCAATTTAGGTGATAAAATGAAGTGGGATGGGTAACAGCTTCAGAGGAGAAGCCACTGGTTTAAACAGGATAGTCACTGCAAGCACTGCTGATCTACATACAAGTCTATGGACAGAGAAGAACAGGGGGTCAACCTGAACTCCCTAAGAAAAGGAACAACCCAGTATAAAGACCCTGACAGGAAAGTGGGACTGGCTTTTTAAAGACTGTCCAGGCCCATCTGATCAGGTTACAGGAAGTGAGGAGAGAGGCTGTCTTATTTAGGGGTTCCATTGCTTTAAAGAGATACCATGACCAAGGCAACTCTTACGAAGGATGACATTTAATTGGGGCTGGCTTACAGTTTCAGAGGTTCAGTCCATTATTATCATGGCGGGAAGCATGGCAGCACCCAGGCAGACATGGTGCTGGAGAAGGAGCTGAGAGTTCTACATCTTGTTCCGAAGGCAAACAGAAGTAGACTGACTTCCAGGAAGCTAGGGAGAAGGTCTCAAGGGCCACCCTCACAGTGACACTCTTCCTCCAACAAGGCCACACCTACTCCTACAAGGCCACACCTCCTAAGAGTGCCACTCCCTGGGCCGAGCATATTCAAATCAAAACATTCTACTACCTGGCCCTCATAAGCTTGTTCAAACACATGAGTTTATGGGGGCCATACCTAGCCATAGCACAATGCAAAATACATTTAGTCCACCTTCAAAAGTCCCCGTAGTCTATCACAGTCTCAACAATGTTTAAAAGCCCAAAGTTTAAAGTCTTTTCTGAGATTCATCCAATTAACTTGTAATCCCCAATAAAATCAACATCAAAAAGCAGATTACATACCTCAGACTTCGCAGGATATACATTACCATTCCAAAATGGCATATTGTGAAAATCCTGGACAAAAGCAAGATCAAAAACGAGCTGGGGAAGCTCCAAACTCTGCGCCTGCATGCCTGATGTTAAAGAACTCATCACATCTCCCTCTTCTTTCTGCTTTGATGATCTTTCTCCTGGGCTCGTTCTACTCTCTGTTAGCAGCTTTCCTCAGCAGGTAACCTACAACTCTGGCATCTCTAACGTCTTGGGATCTCCAAGTTAACTTCGACTTCACAGCTCCTTATTCCAGTGTCTGGGATCCACACATGATCTTCTGGGCTCCTCCAAAGAGCTTGGGTCACTTCTTCAGCTCTGTCTTCTGTAGCACTCCTGCCTCAGGTTGACTCCGTTCCACTGCTGCTGCTGTTCTTGGTGATCATCCCATGGTATTGGCATCTCCAATTTGCTAGTGTCTTCTGCCCCAGCTAGGCTTCACCAACAGCCTCTCATAGGCTCTCTTCATGGTACCAAGCCTCACCTTCTTTATGTGATCTCTTCAGTTCTGGGCCATCAAAACCAGTACCACCTGGGTGACTCTTACACATTACCAAGTCCGGCTGAATCGTGAGGTACAACCTCGGTTATCTCTGAAACACAGCTTCTTTGTGCTTTCAGAAATCACTTCCCAGAAGATGTCACCTCAGTGATGCTGGTCTCTTCTTAGTCACCACTAAGTTCTTAGCTCTAGCTAGCCAGCATCAATTGTCCCAGTAGTCCCTTCTATTCTTGACTCTAAAGCCTGAGCCACAAGACTGAAGCTGCTGAGTTCTGTGGCTTGCTGGAACTGGAACTTGTTCTATTACATCATCACCAGCTTTCTATTTTCCGACTCCTTCACTGCCTAAGCTTAGCTGTCATGGAACTTGTTTTGTAGACTTGACCTTGAACTCAAGAGCTCTGCGTGGTTCTGTCTCCTGAATGCTGGGATGAAAGCTGTGTACCACCAAGCCTGGACCTAAGCTTTTCTCTACTTGAAACTTGCTCTGTACCAGGCTGGCCTTGAACCCAGAGATCTGCTTGCTTATGTCTCCTGGGGTTAAAGGTGTATACCACCATGCCCGGGTCTAAGCTTTTCATGGTCACTATGCCTCAAAATCTGGATCAAAGGCCTGTGACTTCCATTTCTTTTTAAGCAGAATTGTAGTTCATTCCAGGTTAAGAGTTCAAAGGGAAAGAATAACCCAAGTGAACAATAAGTTTGCTGGGTGGGATCTTGCTCCAAGGTCACTACTCCCTTAATCTGTTTATCTCCTCAAACATAGAATGTAGTTCCATTGTACTTTCTGGTGCCCTTTTATTACCTGAAATATACATTTTGTATTTTGCCTTTCTAAGCTTGCTCTGCTTATTCAAAACACTCCTTCTGAACCACAGGATAAAGTCTAAAATAGGCTTTTTTTGAGACTTCCTTTGTCAATGCTATTAATCTGAATCTTTTCACTTTAGCCTCAATCAGATCTTCAGACAAGGGCACAAGGCAGCCATGTTCTTCACCAAAATATCACAAGAACAGTCTCTAGGCAAAATGCTAACATTCTGCTCCTTTGGAAACTCTTGAGCCAGGCCCCCACAGTTCAAATCACCCTCAGCACCTATGTCTTCCATATTCCTACCGGGATGACACATCAAGCCCCACTTAAAGCCTTCCACTGCTTTCCAAAGTCCCAAAATCCATATTCTTGCAAGCAAAAGCATGGTCAGGCCTTTCACAGCAATACCCCAGTCCCTGGTACCAACTTCTGTCTTAGGGTTTCTATTGCATGGTGAAGAGACACCATGACCATAAAGGACAACATTTAACTGGGGCTGGCTTACAGGTTCGAAGGTTCAGCCTATTATCATCATGGTGGGAAGCATGGCAGCATCCAGGCAGGCCTAGAGTTGGAGAAGGAGCAGAGAGTTCTACATCTGGATCTGAAGGCAGCCAGGAGAAGACTGACTTCCAGTAACCTTGGAGGAGGGTCTCAAAGGCCACCCCCAGAGTGACACGCTTCCACCAACAAACCCACACCTACTCCAACGAGGCCATGCCTCCAAATAGTGCCACTCTCCTGGTCAAGCATATTCAATCCACCACAAAGGTGCAGGGGATGAAGTTAGAAAAGGCAGTCTTGGGGAAGAAGAAGTGGCTCGGCAGTCTAGAGCACTTTCTGTACAGAGAATTTTACACCACTAGATGGACAGTGGTTTTTCACCCTGCTTGAAACGTACTTGTTTTAACAGTTTCACACCACCTGCAGAGACTGTAGAGGACAATGGTGGAAGTCGCTGGACAAACTAAGTCCAGGTTATTCTAGCGTACAGTGCACGGGTGAGCATGCTAACGATAATGGAGACGTTTAGTCCCCAGTGTATGCTGATATTATATTAACTGAAAGGACAGTATGGGGAGGAGCAGGGGGGTGGGAGGAGCAGGCAGAGGGGGAGGAGCAGGCGGGGTGGGAGGAGCAGGCAGGGTGGGAGGAACAGGCCTAGTGGGTGGAGCAAACCTAGTGGGAAGAGCTCTACGACATCTGTTTTCTACCTTTTAGCTTGGAGAAGTTACAATATAGGGGATTCTTGTTAATTCTTGTTCCAGAGAGCCAACGTGGGAGAGGAGGACAGACAAGGAGCTTGGCGATGCGAACCCTTTAATCCCAGAACTCAGTATGCTAAAGTTTGAAGTGAGCTCCAGGCTTGCTCAGGGTGTGAGACCCTGTCTCAAAAGTTACATACATATATGTGTGTGTATGAAATTCATTGATTAATAACTCATAAATTATATATATATATATATATGTATATATATATATATATGTATATATGTATACACACACACACACATTCACACACGTACTGTCTAATGGACTGTGGGGGAGTTGTCTGGGATGACAAATGACAAGAGAAGAAGTACACCTAGAGAGATCAGAGTTCGGAGTAGGGAAGGTAAGGATGTATGGAGCTGGGTACAGTGGCATGCACCCATCATCCCAGCGCTGGAAAGACTGAGGCCAGAGCAACACAAGCTCAAGCCCTGCCTGGGCTACTCAGCAAGGCTACAAGCAAACAAACCAATGCAAAGTTATAGCAGCACACGATTGTTTCCCTTCATCATTAATATGTTATTAAATGATGCTAAATAACTGGGTTTATGATATTAAACTTAGTGTAGTTTACTATCTATACAGAGATGGTATATTTTTTAAATGTACTAAGCTGATTGAAATGAACATTTATTTTCTTTGAAGGCACTGAGACTGAAATTTTGTGTGTGGTCCCCCTATTGTTGCTTTATTCTAATAAGTAAATGAAATGTGTATTGTGATTCAAAGGTCAACACTGTATTTTGATAAGCTAGCACTAATGATAAACTTACATTTCATTGCATGTGTTAGCTGTTCAAATTGCTGCTGAGAAAAAATCTCAAGCTTATCTTTTGGTAGGCCACCTTGAGAAAGATCGTGAAGTAAACTTGTATCTAAAGTTTGAAAAGTAAAAATACACTTTTAAAATATAAATCTATAGGTACTTTTCATAATTTGTGATCAATTGTCTAATAATATAAATTTTCATAGATAATTCCTACTAATGCAGTTTGCAGTATTAAAATATTGACTTATAATTGAAACATAATGGTAATTATGTTTAGTCTTATTGCTATTTTTCAAAAGGGATATAGAAAACATTTAATATTGGTTTTCTCCAAGTTTCTATGAAATCATCAGTCAAAGATAAGTCTCTTATACAATGAATACAAATAATCCGAAGAGTAATACAGAAAATAAAAAACAAGATATATTCTCCAATGCTCAAATTTATGAGTTATTAATCAATGAATTTCATTGTTTAATTTTGAAATCAATGAATTTCATGATTAACTTCATAAGTAATTAATCAGTGAATTTCATTAATTTAGAAATCAAAACAAGTACCTTGATGTTCATTTAAAATAAATTCCACTGGGTTACTAATACCTAGGCTTGAGCAGTGAGGTAGCAACAAAATGACCTTAACATTCTGTAACCGGTGATCTTTTGATTCAATGCTAAGAAATGTTTCATGAAGTATTTCAATATCTGAGAAGAAAAAAAACAGCAAACAAACAAACAAACAAAACACTCATGTTAAATATTAAAAATCTGAATTCTGAATGCAGCGTGCGATCATAGCTCTTTACTATTCTTTTCCAAATCCTCAACCCCATAAAACTAAACTCGACGTAGTTAGAAAAGGAAGCTTAGCATCCTAAAGTTACTCGAGTGATTTGCTTCCGCTTTTAAGATTTCTTTTTAGCCATGCGTATGTGTGCGGGTATGTCATGTGTGTGGCTACTCACAGAGGCCAGAAGAAGGTGTCAAATCTCCTGAAACTGAAGTTATAGGCTCTTGTAAGTAGCCCAACTTGGGTGATCAGAACCGCTCAGGTCCCTTGCAAGAGACCTGACCCCTTTATTTAAAAAAATAAAATAAAATTAGGTTTACGCTTGCTTCTATGTATGTATGTGTACCGCACATGGCCCAGTTCCCACAAAGGTCAGAAGAAGATGCTGGATGCCCTCAAACTGGAGTTACATATGGTTGCAGTCCACCATATAGAAACCAGATACCAAACCTGGGTCTTCTATAAGAGCAACAACTGTTTTTAACCACTGAGTCTGCTTTCCAGCCACAAATTCATTTAATTAAAAAGTTACTTGTAGCCGGGCAGTGGTGGTGCACGCCTTTGATCCCAGCACTTGGGAGGCAGAGGCAGGCAGATTTCTGAGTTTGAGGCCAGCCTGGTCTACAGAGTGAGTTCCAGGACAGCCAGGACTACACAGAGAAACCCTGTCTCGAAAAACCAAAAAAAAAAAAAAAAAGTTACTTGTAAATATTATTTATTTATTCTGACTACTCGGTAAGGGGTGTGTGTGTGGTGTTCGCTTTTACTATCGGTTTGACATAGTCTAGAACCACCTGGGAAGGGGAATGTCAGTTGAAAAAATAGTTCTCTCAAGCAGACTGATCTGTGAGAATGTCTTTGGGGCATCTTCTTGATTGTTGTAGGAAGTCCCAGCCCACTGTGGGTAGTACCATCCCTAGGCAAGCAGATCTGTGCTGTATAAGAAAGCTAGCTGAGGCCAGGCAGTGGTGGCACACGCCTTTGATCCCAGCACTTGGGAGGCAGAGGCAGGTGGATTTCTGAGTTCCAGGCCAGCCTGGTCTACAGAGTGAGTTCCAGGACAGCCAAGACTATACAGAGAAAGCCTGTCTCAAAAAAAACAAAAGAAAGAAAGAAAGAAAGAAAGAAAGAAAGAAAGAAAGAAAGAAAGAAAGAAAGAAAGAAAGAAAGAAAGAAAGAAACAAAGAAAGAAAGAAACAAAGAAAGAAAGAAACAAAGAAAGAAAGAAACAAAGAAAGGAAGGAAGAAAGAAAGCATGCTGAGCATGAACCAATAAGCAGCCTTCTCTGTGGTTCCTGCCTCCAGATTCCTACCTGGAGTTTTTGTCCTGCCTTTCCTCAGTGATGGATTGTGACCTGGAAGTATAAGCTAAATTAAACTCTTTCTTTCTCTAATGGCTTTTTGTCAGAGTGTTTTATTACAGCAACAGAAATTAAACTAAAATGACCTTTAAATCTGGCATTTGGTAGGTTAAGACAGGAAGATCAAGGGTTTAAAGAATGCCTGTGTGTGTGTGTGTATGTGTGTGTGTGTGTGTGTGTGTGTGTGTGTGTATGTTAAACATTTATCCTTATACTGTAATGTATGTTTCACTGCTGTATTCACAAAACAAAATTAATGTCAGGACATCTAAGACAGTGATAGGCAGATAGATTTGCATAACATACATCAAAAAATATTTGTTGAATAAATCATTTTGTTTTTTTAGGTACTTCCCATTATTAATATTGCCCCTGTAAGTCTCACTAACACTTTACTTGTCTTAGAAATCTATTCCAGATTAGTTAGAAGATGAATATTACATTTGTGAGAGTCATTCATGTTGTTAGGTATGATAATAGTTTATTCTGTATTAAATTCCATTATAAATATCAATGTTGTCTCTCATCTGAGGCTATAGCGAGTAACATGTTATACTTTGGATGTGGTCTGTCACCAACCAGTTCGTAAGTTAGAAGCTTGGTCCTCAGGTGAAAGCTTCAGAAGGTAAGGTTCATGGAAGGTAATTAGAGGATTTTGGACACTGCTCCCAGAAGGAACTAAGGAAGGTCTTATTGGATGACTTCAACCTTATGAGAGTGGACTACTTTAAAGCACCATAATTTGCTTTCTCTGGTCTCTGGTCTCTGGCTTCCTAGTCTCACCGTGTGATCTCTTCTTCTTCTTCTTCTTCTTCTTCTTCTTCTTCTTCTTCTTCTTCTTCTTCTTTTTTGTTTTTGTTTTTTTGAGACAGGGTTTCTCTGTGTAGCCCTGGCTGCCCTGGCACTCACTCTGTAGACCAGGCTGGCCTCAAACTCAGAAATCTGCCTGCCTCTGCCTCCCAAGTGCTGGGATTAAAGGCGTGAGCCACCACCGCCTGGCTAAAATTTTGTTTTTGGTTTTGGTTTTGGTTTTTCGAGACAGGGTTTCTCTGTGTAGCCCTGGCTGTCCTGGAACTCACTCTGTAGACCAAGCTGGCCTTGAACTCAGAAATTTGCCTGCCTCTGCCTCCCAAGTGCTGGGATTAAAGGCATGCGCCACCACCGCCCGGCAACAGCCCGCGTTTTATAAATTATTTTGCCTCCAGTATTTTGTTAGAAAATAGATAATGCTTCTACGAATATTATTGCATGCAGTTTTTTGGTGCATATATTTGTATTTGTGGGGGTGGGGAGGTGATCGACACAGACCCAAAATTCTGGGTGTGATTGCAGGTTATATGCAACTTTAATAAATAACCAGCTTTTCCACTGGTTATAGCTCCACGAGCAGTGTTGGGACATTTCCAATTGGTAACTGCCAATCTTTTCTATTTTAATTATTCTGTAGGTGTACACTTGAACTGTTGTGATTCTAATTGCAATTCCCTGATTACCATTAGGGTTTGTTGATTTTATTGTGAGCTTTGGATTTTGCTTTGGTTGTATTCTTTTCTTGTGCAGTATGTGGTTATGTCTCTCACACTTTTCCCTATTGAAGTATGTGGATTTGTTATCATCATTATCATCATCATCATTTGAGTGTGTGTGTGTGTGTGTGTGTGCATTCGTGTCATGAGGCACTAGTGGAGGTCAAAAGACAACTTCTACTTCCACCTTTGTAAAGGTTCCAGCGATTAAACTCAATTCATCAGCTTGGCACAGCAAGGTCATTTCACCCTTGGTCATCTTGCCAGCAGGAAGTTTGTGGTTTTTATTGTTAATTCATAAGAATTTTTAAACATGAAAGATAAAATCAATTCATATACTTCTTCTATAATTTGACATTGTACTACTGTGCAGAACTTTTACTTTTTTTCTGGCATCCAGTTAATCAGTCTTCTATGGTCAGTGTGTCATACACTGTACCAGAGAACTCTCAAGTTGTCTCCCTGGGTCATGAAATATTTCTCCCATAGCATATTCTATGAGGTTCTAGATGTGCACATGAAATGAAGTATCAGTTTTCTTTCTAGCATGGTTCACGAAAGAAATAATTCCCTGACATTCTGTAGTGCTGCCTCTGTCCTAATGGAAGTGCAGGCCTTGTGGAGACTCCCTGCCTCCTTGTGCATTCATTGCTGTAGATCTTTACCTATGGGGTGGTTTGAATACCTTTGGTTCCCATAGACACGTGTGTTTGAGCTTGGCCTATGGGGCATGGAACTATTAGGAGGTGTGTGACCTTGTTAGAGGAAGTATGTTGTTATGGGGGTGGGCTTTGAAGTCTCTATGCTCAAGCTGTACCCAGTGTGGAATTCCAGTTCCCTCCTGGGTGCCTGCAGAAGATAGCCTCTTCCTGCCGCCTTTAGATCAAGATGTAAAACTCTCAGCTCCTCCAGCACCATGCCTGCCAGGATGATAATGAACTAGACCTTCGAAACTGTAAGCCAGTCTCAATGAAATGTCTGTCTTTATGATAGAGTTGTCTTGGTTATGGTGTCTCTTCACAGCAGTAAAACTCAAACTAAGATAATGTGCTACCAAAATATTTTATGAAGTAAATCTTTCTCCTCTTTGTTTTCATCTTCAGTATGTTCTGGTTTGTATGCTTGGCCCTCTTTCTTAAGATTTATTTTTTCACTGTGCGTACATGGTGAGGAGCTTGAGCAGGTATGTGTGGGTGTATCCATTCTCAACCTGAAATTCTTCTCCATTCTTTTCCTCTCTTCTTCCCCCCACCCCTTTTATTTGGTAATGGCAATCAAATCCAGGGAGTCACACGTGCTATGCACATCTCCCCTGACTGGGCTTCCCCAACCTACTTATTTCTTATTTGTTCACACTGCAGTTTTGTATTTCTAGCATATTCTTTTTGGCTTGTTCACATCCTATAGCTTAGCATTAGTCTCCTTAGTTACTGCCGGTGATCCTGGCTGCAGACCACTGTGCTTTGTCTTCATTTTTCAGCAGCTATGTTGTGATGCCTATAGTATTAACTTATTTTGTGTAGCCTGCTTAGCATACAAGCTCATAACCATTAGTCCTAATTAAAGATTTATTTATTTACTTTTTGTATATGAGTACACTGTTGTTGCTGTCTTCAGATAGTACCAGAAGAGGGCATCAGATCCCATTACAGATGGTTGTGAGACACCATGTGGTGGCTGGGAATTGAACTCAGGACCTCTGGAAGAGCAGTCAGTGCTCTTAACCGTGGAGCCACTTCTCCAGCTCCCATTAGTCCTAGCTAGAGTTCACAGCAGACAGAACCAGTATCCTGAGTAGGTCCCATTCTTGCCTAATCTTTGAGTCACATCTACCACTCCTAATGGTTCAGGGCTAAAATCATGATCTTTTTTCTTTGCAGTTTAGTATTGTTGAGTCATATCCTCCCTTTTGTCTATTTTTTTTAACTGAGTGCTAGATGCTGCATTTGGAAATATTTAGTAGATAACTAGAAAGTTAGGATTATTTTTTTTTTCCCAGAGAGAAGTTACCCTGCTTATGGCAGGTAGTGTGGGCTTGTCTAAGACTGCTTACCATACGTCCTGGGTCACTGAATTCAATTAGAAATTAAGATAGAAAAAAAAAACTAGGTGTTCTACTGTTGCTTCTAGTAGCCTGAGAATCAAGGACTGGTCACTATCCAGGGTATACTTCTGTGTTCCAGATTTCCAGGCTACCTTCCCTGGTCAATCCTGCAGTTATATACTTTTTCTCTTTCTGGCTCTGTGGCTCTGTCAACAATTTTGTTGACTTTTTCAGCCTCACTAAACCTCTAGCAAAATGTGGTCTTTTCTTTTCATGACCCAATGGGAACTTAAAAATAAAACAGGAGCATAAAAGACTTCATTTCTATCTTCTCCTGTTCTCTTTGTCAATTAAGCATCTATGCTAATATCTTCCAGCTACTAAATGATAAGCCTTCAGTCTGATGTTATTATGTCAGAGACAAAAATCAAGCTCAAGTATGAAATACCAAGGCATTAGTTACTTTAACCTAGAGCTACTAAATATTACATATGATGCAGATTGTGAGGGTTTTAGAAGGATAGTTCTCATATTGTTTATATTACAAAAAATAATAATAAATTCAAACACTTTTAACGTTTCTAAATTCTTGTAGAAGCCTAATCATCAAAATAGACATTGTCACGTACTTTCACATCCCATTTTTGTAAAAAGTTTCTTCGCGTCAGAATCCTTCTCCTCTGATTGTATTCCACATACAAATATTTTTGAGGTGTTGCCACTTGTTAAGACGGACATATGAGCAACAGTGTACCACGAGCCCGTGTTGACCATCAGGATATCATCATCCATATTTATTAAAGCTTTCACAGAGTGGACAGCAAGACTTCGTGATTTGTCCTGTAGAGAATAGCGTAATTAGAACGTGAAAGCACGTAACAGAAAAATAAGCTGACTTATTTTTACTCTAAATGAAAACCAGCACTTGGTGGGAAACTTGAAAAGGTGCTGGTCCATTTTAGTAAAGCATATTAATATATGTCTACATGAAAGGTAACAAGAATAACTGACAAGCGTGTTTAAAACAAAAGGTCTTCTCATTTCACCCCAAAGTCTCCAGATAGCAACAAGCCAATCCTAAATTCTCAAAGTGAGACTTATAGATTACTATGGCTTGGTCTCTGTTCTTCTTTGTTGTGAACGTTTTTTTTAGTTATATGTGTATACAGGTGTCTGTGTAGGGATTTGTGCACATGAATGCACTGCCTACAATAGCCAGAAGGCGGTGTGAGGTCCTCTGGAGCTGGAGTTACAGATAGTAGTGAGAAGCCTGATGCGGGTGTTTTCTTTACCCACAAACCATCTCTCCAGTCCTTTCACTTCCATTCTTACCCCTTCATGAAATCCCATTCACCCACTCCTACCATTTTTAATTCCCAATTACATCGTCATTTAAATTGCTGCTAGCGCAGACTGGGAAGAAATGATAGGATACTCTTACCCATGGGTATAGGTGTGGAAGCCGGGCATAGTGGCATAAACCTATAATCCCAGCACTTTGAAGGTGGGGCTGGAGGAATGCCATGAGTTTGAGGCTAATCTGAGCAAAGTAAAGAGTTTTAGGATCCTGTCTCAAGATCCTGTCTCAAGAAAGCCAAAGAGTAGGTACAGGGAAGGACTAAACCTTGGAGAGACATGTCAATCCACTTTACATTGTTTTCCTGTATTGATATGTATTAATAGACAAATCAAAGTTGTAGTGCTCTGACAGGGAAAGCATGAGAAAGTACTGCACACTGCTTGTTCTATGTGCACTGGTGCTATATCTTCCCAGAAGGGAAAAGGAGGAAGAGGTCTCATTGTAGCTTCTCTTGAATCCTCTCTTAGGAGGAAAAAGATTACAGCCTTTTAAAGGTGGCAGCTAACATCTTCCCATTTACGATTATGAGAAAGAGAGAGAATACATTATTTTAATTTTTTTCAGATTTATTATGTGTCTGAATGTTTAGCTTGCACATATAGGAGGAAGTATACCACGTGTGTGTCTCATGCCCATGGGGATCAGAAGAGGGTTCTGGATCTTTTGGGACTGGAGTCACAGATAGTTGCGACCTGCCATGTGAGTGTTGGGACTCAAACCTGGGCGCCATCTCTTCTGCCTGAGAACGTATTGCTTACAACTACACATGGGACTGGGAGGCATTAGTGTAATGAAAATGGTGTCTGGAGAGAGACTCATTTTATTCCAGACAACCGACCCTCGACCCTTGGGCTTGTAAAAAAAGAAAAAATCCTGCCCCCACCCAGGCTTCATTTTCAGGTGTAAGGATTCTTTGGGCAAATGGTATTAGTCTGATTCACAATGAAAGTAAATAGTAGTTTACCTGGAAAACAAGTCTATAGTCTTTTATAAGATCTATGTTTAAAAGGTCTGTTTTGAGATGAGCTGGAAAAATTAAGACATTGTAGCAATGCTGGTCTACAGCAAAGGCTTTATCACTGAGATTCATTACAGACTTGACTTTAGCATAACCTTTTCTCCTCAAATTACCGTAGACTTCTTCAAGGCTGTAAATATAAACATAATTACAAATAGGGTGCGCTAAAATGTATTTAACATTAATACGTGTTCCTGTGGCAATGGAAAACATCACTGGGCACAATGCATCTGATAAAATAGTTCTAGCCAAGCTAAAAGATAATTAGACACAGAAAACGTTAGCATATTAGTGTAATTTTATCAACAATTTAGTAAATTGATGGTGAGATCTAAACTTAAACTATGACTTTAATCATTCCCTAAATGTGGCCTCAACCCTTAGAAAGGTAATATTGTTTTTACATTATCATAAAAGGATGGGGTTTTGAAATATGGATGGAGAACTGAATTGAAATGCGTACCTTATTTTACTAGTATTTATCCAAGCGTAAAGAGGCAAGATCGAGGCCCTTTGCTCCTGTTTCCTAACCGTCTCTGGCAGAATGTGGTAAATCGAGAGGGCATCGTGCTTGATTCGACATCTCGCCAATGCGGCAGCCAATTTTGTCTTAAAGCTAGAGGCAGAAAACCCATGAACTTGAAATAAGGCTATCAATTCTTCATTTGAGACGTTAAAAAAAAATCACATTTAGAATTTTAACAAACTTGCCGGTCATTCGGTTTAAAATTTTTGAAGCCTGAGATAAAGATTTGTGATATTCAAAATAGAAATCCAATAGTCCTGATCTTCTGTTGTTCTTTTTTTTTTTTCTTTTTTCTGCTGCCTCTAGATAGTTACATGGTCCTCAAATACTCATTCACGACGTCAGTAGTTACAGAAAAGCATTCCAGGGATGAGTGAAGAATTTCGAGGCAGATGAGACAGAAGCTGAACACAGGTTCTGTCACTCACCAGTTTTGTGACCTTGAGAATGTCACTTGCTCCTTCTCTTGGCCTCAGTTTCCCCATCTGTAAAGGCAGCCAACTTACCTTAGTGTTAGTGTGTGTGTGTACCAACCAAAACAGTTAGCCCAGACACACTGCAGGCAGTGATTACAGTCTGGTTGATGAGGTTAGGGTGGCAAGAGTATAATATTGATAACGTTCAGAAGGTTTCATTGATCTCTATCAAATCCTGCTTAGTTTTGAAACTCCCATGTCTCCAAGTCCCAAACAAGAGGAAAGAAAAATGTTAGTAACACGGTGAAGACCCAATACAGTAAAATAGGTGCAAACAGATTAACAGATTTTTTTTTTGTGTGTGTGTATCTTTTAGAACTTTCTCGGTAGAAATGTAACTGAAATGAAGGAAGGAGAGAGAGAGAGAGAGAGAGAGAGAGAGAGAGAGAGAGAGAGTCACAAAAGACCCAAGTACAAGCTGAGGTTTACTCTATGTGTATTTAAACAAAACAAAACAAAACAAAACAGGGTGCAGGACTTGCTGATAGATGAACTGCCCCGTTACCATTTCAGCACCAAGTGCTGGACGCTGCCCTCTTTCCCTTATGCTAGTCTCCCTAGTCTAAACTTCACATCCACTTACCAACATAAAACTCTTAATTAGTAGGTTCCTTGGGAACACCTGAGGAAGGAGGGAGCTAGCAAACAGCACACTTATTAGAGCTACAATAAATTGGTTGTATCTAATTATATGCCTGAATATCATAGAATTATAGCAGGAGACACTTAAAAATGACAGTATATGAATGCACGCCAAAGGAGACACATAAAGATTATGGGTCACTCTTCTATATGATGCAGATGTAGATACTTGGGTACAGAGTGTTTTGATAAAAAGATTATTTCTAAATTCTCAGTTCAAGCTTGCCGTATTAAATGCTGCTGAGTGTATTATCTGGTTAACTTCTGCTATGACAGCTACCCAAGTGTTTCTTTTTCCTTTACCAGCGTTCCTATTACACACACAGAGATCCCTTTCTGAACATCACATAATCCTAAAGCTTAAATCTTGAGTGAGTTCTATTGGCCATAGAGCAGAACCCTGGAGCTTCACCGTGATGTATTAGGAAGTGCTAACTTAGCATCAACTAACTCTTCCTGCCAGAATCCCACCTCTCCCTCCCATGAGTTTATCCTTAGCCACAGATACAACTATTTGCAAGCTGATCGTAAACATGATCTCCAGCCCTCTCTCCCCGCTCGTTCTCTCCTTCCCCTCCCTTCTTCCCCCTTCTCTCTCTTCCCTTCCCACTCCCCGTCTCTCTCCTCTGCCTGGCCTCTGTATTAGATTTCCACCAGCAGCATGCCTTTCGATACAGCACTTCTCTAAGCTATAAAATAATTACTTTAGTAATTAGTATCTAATGGGCAGGGATGTTGCAAAGATACTTATGAAAATTTACTTACAGTCAGGCTAGTCAAGAAAAGAGTATAATTAATATGTTTATTCCTTTACAACTATTAACTAAGTACGGTGAGGAGACCTGGACCTATAAAGACTAAACATTTAATTCGGGCCTCTAGTGCATCTGCTTGAAATGACAGCCGCAGACAGGCAAACACAAGATTGGTGTAAATTTGGTCTACCTGACAAGTTTCAAACCAGCCGGCACTACCTAATAATACCCTGCGATCCCCCTACCCACCCACCCACCCCCCAAAAAGGATTCAAATCTTTAAGTAATTAGCAGTTTGGTGCTAAAAAAAAAAAACACACACACACACAGAAACGGTCCCAGCACAATACGACGGTTGCTTTAAGATACATAAATAATAAACACACTGAGAAGAAATATACTGATATCTGTCCCAAAGGGATTTCTAAGAAATGCTTGCTTAAAGGGCAGGAATGTCCAGACCGCAGAGTGGAGAAGATGCAGAGAGCAAGGGTTCTCCAGACACAGCATGAGAAGAGACATACATACAGAGAGTACAATGTCCTAGAGACCTGAGACGTTAAACAGCACAACACATTTACTGAGCAGAGAGGGTGGAGACAGGCCCAGAGGGAAGCGACAACAAATCATGGCTACTTAAGGGTAGGATGTTGCAACTTTTTGTGCAGAAAATAGAGAGATGCTTAAAAGTAGACAAATAGTAACGAATTCGTTGACCAGATACACTTGTTTTCTTAGTATATATGGCAGGCATTGGTCTAAGTTCCAGAAAACAACGAACGGACCAGGAAGAAGTTGCTCCCAATATACAAAGTTCAGAGTCTAGCAGGAGACAAACAAACAAAAATAACCCTTTTGAAATGTCCTAAAGACAAGCAAAGGCACATTTCATTGTACAATGAAATTTTATGGTGTAATAAAAGGTCCTTGTTATGGGAGTCAAGAAACATTTCCTTAGGAGTTGAGTTCCAGCTGAGACACAGGGAAGAGTGGAAGGGAACCGAGAGTAAAGGGAACAAGAGGAGATGTATTGCCAACGGTCTGAGCAGAGGAAGCCTTGGACTAGAAAGTACCTCCCAATTCTGAACTGCATGCCTCAGAAGAGGGGCTATGCGGAGCTTGAAAGAGACTCAGAGGAAAGGAAAACGGGGGTCTGGAGCAGCTCCAGCTTATGTGGAATCTGTCTATCTGAGCCTGGGTTAGGTTACTTCACTCAGTATACATAGGATGTGTAAATATCTCTGTCATGTATAGTAAGTCTCTTGGGAATATGCCCAGGAATAATATGCCGGGTCATAGGGCATATTCTATTTAGCTTTTTGAGAAACTTCCACTTTGGTTTTATACTAGCCGTACCAGTTTAAATGCCCACTAAGAGTAAACAGTGGTTCCCGCTTCTTCATATCCTCACCAGCATTTATTGTCATTCATTTCCTTTTTCTTTTTAAAGAGGTTTTTTTTTTGTTTTTTTTTTTTTTGTTGTTGTTGTTGTTGTTTTTTGGTTTTTCAAGACCCTGGCTATCCTGGAACTCACTCTGTAGACCAGGCTGGCCTCGAACTCAGAAATCCACCTGCCTCTGCCTCCCAAGTGCTAGGATTAAAGGCATGCGCCACCACCACCCTGCTAAAGAGTTAATATTTATTATGAGTATTTTGCCTGCGTGTTTATAACTGCATGGTATGCATGCAGTTCCCACAGAGTCCAGAAGAGGGCATCATTTCCTCTGGAATGAGTTACAGTAAGTTGTGCACTACTGTGTGAGTGCTGAGGACTGGACCGAGATCCTCTGCAAGAGCAGCAAGTGCTCATAGCTAATGAGCCATCTCTCTAGCCCTTCACTTGTTTTCTTGATAATAGCCATTCTGATTGGGGTGAGATAGGATCTCAAAGTAGTTTTCTCACTTCTTTAATGGTACAGGATATATTTATGATATATATTATACATATACATATACTATACATATACAGGTGTATGTACATGTATATACATGCTGTTTGAATTCTTCTTTTTGAGAACTCTGTTCGTCCATTCAGTTCCACAGCCCATTTTACGATTGGGAGGGTGGTTTTCTTAATATTTAGGTATCTTTAGTTCTTTGTCTACGATCTTCTGTTGGATATATAAATGCCAAAGATTTTTTTTTTTCCTATTCTGCTGCTACCTCCTCACTTGATTAGCAGTTTCCTTTCCCATGCAGAAGCTCTTTAATTTCACGAGGCCCCATTGTAGACTGTTGCCCTTAAGTCCTAAACAGTCAGCGTCTTCAGAAAGTTCTTACCTATGTCTATATCTTGACATGTACTCCCTAATTTTTCCTCTAGTGGTTTAGGAGTTTCAGGTCTTAAAATCCTTGATTCAGTTGGATTTGATTTTTGGGCAGAGTAAGAAAAAGGGATCTGGCCGGGCAGTGGTGGTGCACGCCTTTAATCCCAGCACTTGGGAGGCAGAGGCAGCCGGATTTCTGAGTTCGAGGCCAGCCTGGTCTACCAAGTGAGTTCCAGGACAGCCGGGGCTACACAGAGAAACCCTGTCTCGAAAAACCAAAAAAAAAAGGGGGGGGGATCTGGTTTTATTCTTCAATATGTAGATATCCAATTTCCCCAGGACCGTTTGTTGAAGAGCCTATTTTTTTTTCTGTGTATGTTTGACATTTGTCAAATGTTAGGAGGCTCTACGTAGTAGCATGAACCAGATGTCTGTTCCTTTGTCCTAGTCCACTGGTCTATGCATCTTTTGCCACAGTGCCATACTGTTTTCACTTGTGTGTTTCTGCATTATAATTTGAAACCAAGTATGGTGATAACTTCCAGCAATATTATTTTGGCTCAGGATTACTTTGGCTACCCAGCGTCTCTTATATTTCTGGGTGAAATTTAATATTGCTTTTTTCTATTTCTATGAAGAATACCACTGGAATTTTGGTTGGGTCTGCATTTATTGGGTAGATTGCTTTTGGTAGGGTGGCCATTGTTACAAAATTCCTTCCAACCCATGAACATTGAAGGTCATCCTATCTTCTAGTGACTTCTTCAATTTTTTTTCTTCAGGGTCTTGAAATTTTCACTGTAGAAGTCTTGTCTTTTTACTTCTTGGTTAGGCTTCGCTTTTTTGTTTGTTTGTTTTTTTAAACGCTATTATGGATGGGCCTGTTTCATATTTCTTTCTCAGTATGTTTGTCATTGCTATGTAGGAAATCCACCTATCTCTGTGTATTT